CTTCACTACCAATCAACAAACTAAATTCATCTGTATATTACTCAGTTCTGAAATTTTATTCATTTTAGCATTAGAATTTTCTCATTATTACTTATTCTCCACATTGCGACTTACTGGACTCCAGTCTGGTAGTGTGGTAGCTGCTGGTATCCATAAACCCTACTGCCCTGAAACAAACGTTTTCATTGAAATCCCGAGACATACAAACTCACAACCAACTGCCAACTGAGTAGAATTAGACAGTCGAGTGGCTAGACCTCCATTCATTGGACATTACCGAACACCTGGAACCGTATCGAAAGAAAAAGAATCGAGAGCAAAGAAATCAATTGGTTTATACTAGCTCGTGAAAAAGATATTGGATATATCGGATATTGGAACGGACCAAGGTCATGGAGCCTTGTGTGAGTTCGACATTGAAGCGCTGGTCGTGATATCACCGAAATCCCTTGGTTTTATAGGTATTTTGTCGCATTGTATTATGACTCAATAACCTCCACGACAACTAGAAGTAACTCTGTTAACTTTTCGTAGCGCTTATAGCCTTCTGATCGTACACCATATAGCAAACGAACAAGAAGTTAGGTATTTTTTTTAGCACCAAGTATAATGCAGAAAAAATGATAGATAATTACAAGAGTAGTTTAAAGTAATGATTTTGTATTGTCTTTTGTGATCTGCGAGTTATTTACTTGTAATTTAGCCCACTTGTGAAAAATATATTGGGTTAGATACTGGATATTGGAGTTATGGTTTTTGAAATAAATAGGCAGCTGTCTGTGAATCTCCAAGCAAACTTGACCCGAGATTTCTATTCCGGTTTTTGATTATTAATAGTGCTATCTAGGTATATTATGACACCCACATCCCATAACTTCACAGTGAAACATATACAGCACTAGGTGTGATTGCTCAGTATCAAGCTTTTCCTCTATATTGAGGCTTGTTTCTACGAAATCCGTTCCTAACCATACTGCCCTCGTTCCGATTTGTCTGTGTGCGGTTTCGAAGGGCTAATTCATCTGCGGAATCCCAACCAACCTACCACGTTCCTCACCGTTCTTTTTTGATACATAGATGCCTTTATAGTCCGGTCAACATCTAGCATATACTGGGGATGTATCCATGGACTGACCTCCATAAATGACTGCGTCTAAGTCTTTCGTAGAAGTCTCTTATGGTGGCAATGATTTTCTCAAGTACTTCATAGTGTCGAAGGTCACACCGCACTTGCATATGCACTCTTTGAAATCTTTATTCGTAATCCGGTAAATTGTTGTACGGAGATGGATTTCGTTCGTTTGATTGTTCTACAACTTGTCAAAAACAAAGTTCAGTGTCAACTAATAGAGATAACATTGCAATCATGTTCTAGATGCGGTTTTCCCCCTTGAAACGTAGAACGTTGCTTCAGAATTGGCTTGTATCGACACCTGAACTAGTGATGGGGAGTGAAGTAGTTGAGCATGTTGACCGCTTCACTTATCTCGAGACTCTCATCAGTGCTGATGGTCTGGTTGCTGACGAAATTTCAACACGGATATAGAAGGTTTGATTGGCTTTTATCAACTTGTGTCACTCATAGCGTAGATGGAATATCCGTTTGCTAACCGATAGGCGAGTGTATGGCGCAGCAGTTCGCTCGGTCCTACTATACGAATGTGAAACATGGCCAGTCAGAGTAGAAGATATTCGTAGGTTGCTGGTTTTCGATCATAGGTGTCTCTGAAGCATTGTTTGTGGTACAACCGATTAAGCAATCCTGTTGTTAGGAAACAGTCAGTCAGTCAGTTACAACGTAGAACTCCGTACGTACGTACGTACTTCAGTTCAGTTTGCCATACCATATAAGCTTAGGGAGGATTTGATTCTGACCAATTCGGTCCCGTGTGCTGTTACGAGTATGAGGGCGGATATCACTTCCTTGCTGCCCAGACCGTGGGTTTTTCCTGACAAACATGAAGAGAAAGGTAAGTTAGAGTTTCTCTTAGAGACGTGGAGCGTGACTACAAAGTCCAAAGGACATCTGCTTGAGGCCAGTCACTCACGGCCTTTTTATGAAAAGTTTTTAAAGTGTTAGCTCCGTTCTTGTCTAAAAAGCCTTACCTCCGGAGATGAAAATCCGTGGGATAAGATGAGGTGTGACATTTTTTAGGTCGACCTTTCCTAGCCCCCCTTCCTTGTCAGAAGGCAGCATCTCTGCAGATGCTGGTTGTCCGAAGGAAACACCTTACAGCTTTCACACCCCTCTACAGTCAGCAGTACGACTTTTCTTCTACTAAGGAAACCCTCAAAGCTTATTCAAGTGCATATTGATCTACTATCGCAATATTGATCTTAAACTAAGTTATATATTTCTGTGCATAAAGAATCATAAAGAAGACTCGGATGAATGTATGTGATCAGTCTTAACAGATAATATGCATGTACATACGTGAACACAAAAACGCGAACCTATAGGTTATAAAAAATTGGCAATAAATATAACACGTTAGATACTGACGATGACATTATGTTACGTATGTGTTAAGTATGACCAACCACCAACTTACCCGACGTGCTGTTTTGTGGTATACGAGTAGGTTGAAAGAAAGCCAAACCGAAACATGGCAGAAATGCATGAAGTCACTGACAGGTGGACTGAGTCATGTTGGTAGCTCTAGACCATCTGAATAGGGTCCGTGAGATAACAGTAACCGATGGTTAAAGACCTTGAATGACATGGCTCAAAATCGTTTGCAGTGACGTAGGTGCATCTATTCCTTGTGTTCTCTAAAACTCTAATCTTCTGAATTCATCATCTCTATCTTTCGCTTTCTAAATTTATCTCATTGAATTATTCTTCCTGAATAATATCTTCGAACCCTAATCTTCTCCGTTGCTGATACTTCTACTATCGCTACAACTATTGGGTTTAAACTGACAGTTGCGTCTGTGTGCTAATGCGGTATGGCAACCTGAGCTGATGTATGTACGTGCATACGAAGTTCTACGTTTTGGCTGACTGACTCTTCCCTGCAGGTTTTATGCTACCGTATCTCAAAGATATTGGATATTTGAATTAGAATAATAATTCCTCGTATTATTTTACTGTTGTTACTTGGTCACTTTTAATTGAATCTCATTTAGGATCGTCTACTTGATAGAATATGGTCAGTGTTTAGAGCAGTAGCCTATTTATTCATGTGCTTGACTTTCAGTTGTAGTTTGGATCCCATTCTACTTGCTTTATTTTTTCAGCTCTCATATCAAAAGAGATTTTTCTCGGAGCTGAGTTTCTGAACGTATAATCAATAAATCAGTAACACTGCATTATTCTAAACTTTGAAACTATGACCTTAATCTCAAAATTTATGAAGTTATTTGTGGACAGTTTTAATGTGTACCATTTTGTAATTACTTCCTCTTTCTGCATCTATGGAAGCATAGCAGTAGAGCTAACTTTCGTAAAATTCCTCGAATAAAGTTCATTCTGAGTTATTTGTGGTTTTTATCCAATATTATAGATTACTGCGATAACCCATAAATAAAAACACAGTCGCGACAAGCAGTTGTAAATTCTGAAATTTCTAGAAATCCCGTCATAATTCTTGTGTAATAATTTGATAGTCTTCAGTTAATTTTTACAGGATTGTTTTCCTGACTGATTTTGTATTGTTTAGGTAAATGGTAAAATCTTTGTTGTCTTGCGAAAATTCCAAGCGGAAGGTTTTGTCTCGATTGCGTTCTTTTAACTAAATGATTAATAATAAAACTTTCATTTCCTCAGTGAGATCAGACTAAAATCAGCTATTGGAAGTTGGACTTCCATCAGTTGATTTTCATTTCTACTGACATATTTCAGCTAATTACTCTAAAGCAAACCTGCAAACCTTAGTTACATAAAGTGAACATTTCAGTTTGTCTACCCAATTCTCAGAACCCGAACAGTATCTGATCTAAATCACTGCTAAAACTGAGACATAAATCATAATATTTCGGGTTTCTGCATCGTTAGTAAGTCTAAAACATAATCCTATTAGGTGTCCCGTGGCATATAATAAATAGCGAGAGTTAAAACGTAACACTGATAACCTAATTCTCCAATATTCTCACAAGAATGACTAAACATTAGCAGACTGTCACATAACTAACAACCATTTGTCATAAGTGGTCGGTTTTCTAACAGACACCCTGACTACAACTACTTCCAGTTGTTGGTGAGACGAAGGACTTTAATTCGTGACAAATAAACCTAACTATTCCACTCTTTGGTGCACAACTTCAGAAGGTAACTTGGGTACGCAAAGTGACGTCCGGCTGTAGATTTCTATTATTGAAGATGTGGATGCGACTGCAACAGTTTCCAACTTATTGAACTGCTATGACTACGTAATAACATCTGGGGTTATAGGTTCCACTTACAATGACGTGACATATAAAGGTAAATTTACATATTTAACTATCTCTAAACAGATATTTCAAAAGCAGTAAATGAAAATATTATCATTCATCCGAAATTCATGCAAACTCAGGAAAATTTCAGAGCCAAACATTATTTCCCCTTTAAACCTCATTACTAAGCTTGCAACGATACCAGAGTCATTAGAGTTATTATTTGCAACTGCAATCTAGATGACAAGTGAAAGGGCTTATTCCATCGTCAAAATGAAAAATATCTTCATTTGCCAGGCGTCCCATGCTTATTTAATTTAGCACTAGAAATAATTAAAATAAGTATGGATCTGTTCTACAAATTTATTCTGAATGCACTAGACTCTCTGGAACCTAAGGAAAAGCCAGATCTGCGTATGACATAGGCTGCAGCTCTCACACCTGATTGCAGCGACGTGATCATTGGCTTTTTACGTATGTAATCTGCAATAAATCCGGCTGCAAAGGAATCTCCGGCTCCATTTGTATCTACAATTTCTTCGTCTGTCAACTGCTCTACCACATACTGATGGACGGTAGTTTCAGTAGAGTCGGTATATATAATTGGGTCCTTTCCTTGAGTTATAATGATCAGTCGTTTGCGCTTTTTCCCATCAACAAATGGTAAATCAGCTGCGTACCGGGCTACAGCATGAAGGTTTCGATCAGGAAGACTATGAGCCTCTGCAAATGCTGCAGCTTCAGACTCATTCCCAATTACAACACCTGCATGGGACATCATTTCGTTTACTTCCTTTATGTTGTACTGAAGAAGGAAAGTAGCACTAAGATTAAAGCAAAATAACTTTTCATTTTCCACAGAATGTTGGGCTACTTTAAGCATGCCTTCATAACAGGTATTAATTACGAAACCCTTGAAAATAACTAGGTGACACAATTTCAACTTACTGCAATGTAATACACTTGAGCTTTTTCCACAAGACTCCAAACCTCTGGCTTCTCAATGTGTTCCACAGAAAGATCAGACGCTGCTCCTAAGTAGGTAACCATGCTACGCAGCTTCTCGCTTATGAGCACCGCTACTTTTCCGGTCTTCAACGGTTTTGTTGTGATCTGGAATTCCGTCCTCAAATCCAAACCCCGACAGTCGTTCTGAATATGTCTCCCTGGTAGATCCAAACTTATGCATCCAACGTATGAGCAAACAAATGGTTTCTGAAGTATCCATTGAATCATTTTAACTGTATTCAAGGTGGCTCCTCCAGCAACATAGTTCACATTTTTTTTCTTCTGAATTTCGTCGTAAATAGGCATATGTTGTGGTCCAGCCAATATGGCATTGTCTTTTTCCAATTCGTATCTTTCATACATATAATCGTCAGCATCTACCAGTATGTCTAATAGGGGGTTGCCCATCCCGAAAACATAACCTTCTGGGAGATCACGCATTTTGACGAGCTTTTCCTCCACAATAAGTGGACAGCTCTGCTAATTTATATAAGTTAGCTTTCAACCAACCAGTTTTAGTATGTTTTTTTCTGTAGGTCGGTTTTTCGTTTCTAGGTCACTGTATTGTCTAACTCTAGATAAGTATTGATTGTGAGAGAATGTGCTACACTGAACGAATCTGTAGGTGTTTGAGACTGGACCATCACATGGTTCTTCAGTCTTAAGAATATATCATTACCAAACGATTGTTTTTTTAAACGAACCGATTGTTCTCGTTTTTATAACACTCAGTTTTTCTTTAAGATCTGACGAATAATTTGCCAAACTGAGTGCATGTAAGTCTATAGAGCTTAGTTTCTAAAGCCAGTTTAAAAATTTAGACTTTTCAGTTGTGTCTCAACGAGTTTTTGTGCTTTATTTTTGATTTGCTTGTCCCACGTACCCCGGACTGTTCATCAAAATCTGTGCTGATATATATATATATATATATATATATATATATATATATATCAGCACTAGAAATTATATTGTTTTGGCGATTATATCTCTACTATAAAGCATGTGCTTTGTTATTGACTATCCTTCAAACTGAGGTGATTAAAGATCTTGTCCGTAAACTAAGAATAGCGTTTGGTTTGTTTAATAACCAACCATATGGAAATATCAGTTTCTGGTAAAAAAAGAAATCATCAGTATAAGACGTCTTGTGTAGACTGTTATGCTTCTTGGTTTATATCACGGATTGACGTTACGGGTTACGGGTGCTGTTATGGATATGACGGCGGTTGTCACTTCCAAGCTGCCCACACCGTGGAAGGTTGTTTCTTGAGGGACCTGAAAGAGAAGGTAGATTAGTGTCGGTCTTAGAGACCCGGAAGCGTGACTGTAGAGCCCAATAGACAACTGCTTAAGGCCGGTCACGCATGGCCCTCTTATGAAAGGCTTTTTGAGTATTAGCTCCGCTCTTAAAAGCCCTTAGTGGATCAGGTGTGACATTTTTAGGGTCGACCTCTTCTAACCCTTCCTTCCTTGTGAGAAGGCAGCATCGCTGCAGATGCTGGTTGACTGATGGAAACACCTTTATGCTGTCACACCTCTCTACAGTCGGCAGTACGACTTCGCCCTCAGAACTTGAGTAACTGCTTTTAGTCTCACCGTTCTCCAACCGACCTGCCTGGCATTGTAGAACCTTCAGGAGCCTATGTTCCAGCCAAGATACCTCGGTTGTTCACGACAGGCAAGCCCAACCACCATGTCAAGGTAGCAGCTACGGTCGGGCACGGATTGACCTTAGGTTAATAAGATGGTTGTTTTGTGCCAGTATGGGACGTCTTAATAATGCACATCTAGTCCTTAATGCAAACTAACATAATATCTTTGTTCCTTCTATAAATGGCTCTACAGAGCCCCTGAGTGCCCTGGTACAATCAAGAGTAAGCTGAGTCGGCTCTCCCTCTAAAAATGCCTTCACATGACCACGCGCATTTAGCCACCGCTCAGTCAGTCAGTCAGTCAGTTGCAACGTAGAACTTCGTACGTATGTACATAAGTTCATGTTGCCATACCACATTATTAGCACAGAGACGCAAATGTCAAATCAAATCCCATAGTGATAAAGATGGTAGAGGTATTAATGTTATAATAAAGAAGACTAGGGTTTAAGATATTATTCAAAAAATATAATTCAGTGAGATAAGGTTAAAAAGAAAAAGGTATAGGTGCTGGCTAATACAGAAGATTAGGATTTGAGAGAGCTCAAAGAGTGGATGCACCTGCGCCATTGCAAACGATTTTGAGCCATGTCGTTCAAGGTCTCTAACCATTGATGACTTTCATCTCGCGGACCCCAACCAGGTAGTCTACATCTACCAACATGACTCAGTCCACTTGTCAGTGACTTCATGGATTTCTGCCATGTTTTGGTCTGGCCGCCCCTAACTTTCTTCCAACCTACTCCTACACCACAAAACATAGCTCGTCGAGGCAGTCGGTGGTTAGGCATACGTAACACATGTCCCAACCACCTCAACTGATGAAGTTTCACCACTTCATCGATTGATCTGCCATCCTTACCTAGTACTCGTTTCCTAACGACAGCATTGCTTACTCGGCTGTCCCACGATATACGAGCAATGCTTCTTAAACATCTATGATCGAATACTAGTAACCTACGAACATCTTCTACTCTTAACGGCCATGTTTCACAGCCATATAAGAGAACGGAACGAACTGCTGCGCAGTACACCCGCCCTTTGGTTAGCGAACGGATATCACGCCTACGCCATAAGTGACGCAGGTTGGCAAAAGCCAATCGAGCTTTCTGTATCCGAGCTGAGATTTCGTCAGTCAACAGACCGTCAGCACTGATGAGACTCCCCAGATAAGTGAAGTGATCTACACGCTCGACTACTTCACTCCCTATCACTAGTTCAGGTGCCAATGCAACCCAGTCTTGAAGCAACATTTTGCATTTCGAGGGGGAAAACCGCATCCCGAACATGCTCGCATTGTTGCTTATGGTAGTCAGAAGACTCTGCATTTTGTCAGCGTCTTCACCGAATAGAACTATGTCATCGGCATATTCTAGATCAGTAAGCGACTTTCCTGGTAGAAGGTCAACCCCTGAAAAATCTGACGAGCTTAATGTTAACTCTAAGAGGGTGTCTACGACAAAGTTAAACAAGAATGGAGAGAGTGGACAGCCCTGACGGACACCACTTGATGTAGAGAATTCAGATGACAGTTCGCCATATGCTCTCACCCGACCAGTGGTGTTCGAGTAGAGTGCTTGTATAAGGTTAATGTACTTCTTTGGTACACCTTTCAATGACAGACACTGCCACAGAACCTCACGATCCACTGAGTCGAATGCCGCCTTAAGGTCCAGGAACTCGACTATTGTCGGACGCCTAAATGTGTGTCTGTGTTCCAGGACCTGTCGTAGTGTGAAATTGTGGTCTATACAACCACGTCCAGGTCTGAAACCAGCCTGGTTTTCTCTAGTCTGCTCTTCGCGAGCTCTAGTTAGACGTCTAAGTATGATAGAGCCTAACAATTTAGAAACTATATTAGTTAAACTTATTCCCCTGTGATTGTCACAAGAGGACTTCTGTCCTTTCTTGTAGATTGGGACAATTAGCGACTGAGACCAGTCAGATGGGATTACGTCCATTTCCCAGATTCTACCTAGGATCTCGGTCAGTTTAACCGTTAAAACTGGACCACCATCCTTAAACATCTCTGTGGTAAGCCTATCGGGACCTGCCGCTCTACCTCTCCTTAGATTTCCTATAGCTTTCTCAACTTCATGTAAACTGGGTGGACTTAAATCGATTTGCCATTCAGGATGACTGGAGATCGTGGGCAACCGAAGAGTGGCTGAAGGCCAGTTCAACTGATCCCTAAAGTGTTCTGCCCATCTGTCCAGCCTCCTAGATTGAGAATGGATAATAAGACCATCCTTTTCTGAGATAGTCTCATTTACATTCGGGTTCCTAATACCGGTTTCTTTGATAAGGCGGAAAAGTTGTCTAGTGTTGCCTATCGCCGCTGCCTTTTCCATCGCTTTTGCTTTCGCCACCCACCACTGTTCACGGTCGTTACGTAGGCTTTTTATAAGTCTGCGCCTAAGCTGACTACGCTCTTCATCATGTTCAGAGTCAGGTGGGATGCGTTTTCGAGCATCCATCAGTTCGGTGGATGCGGCTGATATCCACGGCTTCATCTTAGCCTTGTGGTTTACCTTGCTAGCAGATACCATTGCTGTTTCCACAGCCTTCTTGATATGATTCCAACCTGCTTCAGGATGGGAATCACTTGCATGGCCGCCTAACTGTTTTTCTAGTTCCTCCTGAAATATTTTCTTAGCTTGATTATCATCAAGTAAAGCCCTAAGTGGCTTCCTTACGGTGTCTTTCCTACGTCCAGCAAGCCTCAAACAAATACGTGCTCGCACTAGGGCATGATCTGAATCTAAACATGTGCCCCAGAACGAGCGACAGTCCTCTATCGAACCCTAGGGGATTTTTACTCACTGTCTTCTCGTTGCAGGGGTGTTGTTTACGAAAGTAAAGGGGTGAAGAGCGAGGGCCTGGAGGTTAATCTGCCATGGCGGATACAAAACCCAGCAAAGTGATCTGGAGAATTCTGATTCCAAACCAATGGTGCACATGGGCTTCAGGATCCTTGGGGAACAAACGGCACAGAAACCTATTTTTCGTCACTGACTACCATCCGACTGATTTACCTATCGTTACTGCATGCCTAATGGATTGGACCTCTTGGTTAAAGACCAGGTGAGCGGCCCTCTAAGAAAGCCACCTTAGACTGGGGTACCTGAGAAATATCCGACCTCACACAAATTTAATATTTTTGTGTGGTGCACAAATACTTAGGTATGCCTTTGTGCCAATGTTTTGCGTTCAAATAAATAAATGTTTGAAAAACTGCAAGCTGACTCAGCAACGAATGATTAATAGAGTCTCATATTTCCTTTTTACCGGTCTCTCTAAGCACTGGTCTTTCCACGCACACGACTCCGTACAACTTATTTTTAACTGTGTTTTTAGTTAGTAAATCGGCCAGAAAGCCCAGGACTCTTATTTACGGATAATGGTATTGCATTATGTAATATCCAGTTTAATTAATTCATACTGAGTCTAGTGAGGCCTGTGAAATATGTATCATCATTTCCTTTGCACTTCATATCAAAAATTTTATTTACAGATCAAGCGGCTTCAAACCTTATGATAATGTATGTTTATTCTTAAAAATATAAACAACGCTTCCTTTTCTTTTGAGATTTTGCCTAAATGTATGAAAATTCATCTTGAGTGGGGTCAATTCTAATCTCATAAGGGATATTAGTGAGTGTATACAATAGGAATGGGCTAACCAAAGCCGAGAAAGCGACTTTTAAGTTTTTTATCAAAATTACAATATCACGTTAATGAACAAAAGAAATATCTGTATATAGGGCTCAAGACCGTTAGCGTGACAATCAAAATACTACCTTCTGCCAGCATAGAGCAGAAATGTTATATGTTTGGTTTTAGGCAGCTCAACACAAATCGCAAAATAAATAAACTCATATTACTCCGGCATGTTTATTGTTCTTGTTTCTCAAATTTACCAGTGATAAGAATTGTAAAAAAATAACTGTGTCAAACCACGTTTTTCCGGTTTACAAGAAGGATAAGCTGTAGAGGACTTCAATAAATTTATTGTTTATAATCTGCTTACAATATAGTATTGTTTTCGCTCTCGTAAACTATATTTCTACGAAAGCTGTTTTCCGATTAGCTAAGAGACCTGGTGACCCACAAAGCCGACCCCACGTTGGACCCAGCTAGATCACATCGTTATAATCCACCGGTGGAGAGGCTCTATTGAAGACTGTCTCTCATTTTGGGGCACATTTCTAGATTATGACCATGCTCTAATGCGAGCGCGTATTTATTTGCATCTTACTGTATATAGGAAAAATATCGCAAGGAAACCTCGTTGGGTCCTAATTAATGATAGCATAGCTAAGAATATATTTCAGAAACAACTAGAAAAAGAGCTAGGCGGCCATGTAGTAAGTGATGCCCACCATGTGGCAGCTTGGGATGATATCAAAAAACCTATGGAAACGGCGGTGATATCTTCTAGTAAGGTAAACCATAAGGTTAGGGAGGAGCCGCGGATTTCAGCAGCATCTACTGAATCGATGGATGCTCGGAAACGCATCCCGTCTAACTGAATTGATTCATGTTGTCAGGTGTTGACTACCTGGTTGGGGCCCGTGAGATGATAATAATCCATGGTTAGAGACCTTGAATGACATGGCTCAAAATCGTTGTAATGGCGCAGGTTTATCCATTCTTTGTGTCCTCTCAAATACTAACCTTCAGAGTTCCTCATCACCTTTACCTTTTTGTTTTCAAGTTTATTTCACTAGATTCTACCTCTTGAGTAACATCTCCGAACCCTAATCTCTCCGATTACTGCCAATACCTTTACCACATTCACTACTATATGATTTGAATCGACAATTACTCCTCAGTGCTAGTGTGGTATGGCAACTTGAACTGATGTGCGTACGTAGGTACAAAGTTCTACGTTGCTGTTGATGGTGATGATTAGCTAAGAACAGGCTGAAGATTCGTCTCAATTCTTTTAATCAGGCCTTCATACTACATTTTTACCATAATGTTTTCTTCTTTCAGTCTAGTTTAATAAAACTCAATAAAAATTCACATTGCTTAATCTAACGATATGATCAAAATTGTTTAGTCGATAAACAATTTTATACTATCATTCTAAGTTTATTTTATTCAAAACAACAGCAACACATTACCATTACAAAACTTCTGAGTTCAATTTAACAAACATGGGCACGAAAATTATATTAAATAAAAAATTATCGTATTTTCTAGTTGCTCTAATGTAATTTATGTTGTATCTCATACACTATTTATTTTTTTAAACGTGTATCTTTATTGGACACAGGATCATATCCGAAATCCTAATGCGATAATCTTTCATCACTCCTTGTATCTTACCACTGTGGGAACTAAATTAGCGAAGAATTTGTCCGACTTAACTGAAAAATATCAAGGTTCAGTCAATATTGGATCTTATCCTGCGTTTCATAATAAGTAATCCTATTTTTATTTTGATACATATATATTCATGTTACTGAAATTGTTCATCAAAATATAATTATACCTCATTTAAGCTAACACCTTAGGTGTTAAGTTAATCCACGTATCGCTACTCTAAACAACAATAATGAAATGCTAGTCTGGATCCTAGTTTGAGCGAATCCTTATTGTGTTGAAAAGCTGCGGGTTATTCAAAGCTTACCTTAATGAATTTGAATTACCCAGCAGCACACAGTTAACCGTAACACTTTTTCAACGTAATCTGTTCGCTAGCATTTTCAAGTAATTTGATACAAAATCTTTGTACCACCTAACTAACTTCGGGATAACATTCGTGATTACTTCATATCTCTTAATAAATAACTATAATACCTGAAGATTATTCATAATTTGTTTGGAAAACTAACTACTACTGCTTATTGTCACAAGAATTTGCTTTTAGCCGTATAATACTAGTCTTGACAAAATGAATTTGAGTCCCAGCTAGTATAAATTATTTTCAGTAAATTGTAATACGAAAATTGTTCCCGATGACATTTCAGGTACTGATAAATATTTTTTTAATAAGAAAATTTAAAAAGAAGTTTTTGCTTTTACGTATCCTTAGTTCTAATTTAGGATATAGCCTCGTAAACTCCACTTTATTACCCTTTAAAACTTCAGTTCTTGAAAATCTCTCAATAACAATAAGTGGAAGTGTAGTTTTGTTCTGTCTATATTTGGTTAATCGATCACAAAAACGCAGTATCTGCTACGGCGTTGTTCGTACTCTCTTGATACCTAACTGCTTTAGACGGGACTTGAACTCATCACTCTCGAAACAGGGACCTTGATCGGTTAATATTATCTTTGGTATCCCATGGTCCGCCACAATGTGCCGCATTACCGCTTCCGTCACCGTCCTTGCACGTTGGTCCGCCATCGGCACGGCATTTACCCATCGTGTGGCATGCTCAGTCATCACCAGCAGGTACTGGTTACCACTTGTCGTCTGTGGGAACGGTCCCATAACATCTACTGACCACAAATCACCAACTGCTGTTACTGGAATTGACTGCAATGGCGGTCGTATGCATCGATCCCCTTTCATTAGTTGACATCGCTGGCACGCTAATACATGTCGTGCAACATCGTCTCTCATACCTGGCCAGTACGCACTTTGCCGCAGCAAATCAGTTGTCCGTGATGAAGCAGTGTAGTGTAGTGTGATGAAGTCATTTGGACAAACACCTAGACAATTTGTAGTATCAACAAAATCACTGGTATCTGAGTAGACTGATAATGGAAAATATCATTCAAGAAGAAACGAGTTCTTGGAATAAAAGCTACAAGATTATTCTAAAACCAAGGATTTAAGAAGAAGCTCAGACTGAATATATTTGGTCCATTTCACTCAAATCTTAGTGATGTCACTCTGCTTCTTCGATCATTGGTCATCATAATGTCATGGACCTAACGAATTCTCCCAGTCCGAAATTCATGAACTGATGCTTACCGTAGTTACCACGTTGAAGTCAGTCAGTCAGTTGCAACGTAGAACTTCGTACGTATGTACATCAGTTCATGTCGCCATACCACATCAGCACAGAGATGTAATTGTCAATTGAAATCCAATAGTAGAAGTGTTTGTAAGGGTATTAGAAGTAATCGGAGAGGTTAGGATTAGAAGATATTATTCAAGAAGTATGATTCAGTGAGAAAAGTTTAGAAAGTCAAAACTAGAGGTGTTGAAGAACCCAGAAGATTAGGATCTGAGAGAACACAAAGAATAAATGCACCGGCGCCATTGCGAACGATTTTGAGCCATGTCATTCAAGGTCTCTAACCATCGATTATTATCATCTCGCGGACCCCAACCAGGTAGTCGACAATTACCGACATGGCTAAGTCCACTCGTCAATGACTTCATGGATTTCTGCCATGTTTTGGTTTGGCCGCCCCTAACTTTCTTCCAACCTATTCCTACACTACAAAACAAGGCTCGACGAGGCAGTCGGTGGTTGGGCATACGCAAGACATGTCCCAACCACCTCAACTGATGGAGTTTCACCACTTCATCTATTGATCTGCCATTCTTACCTAGCACCCGTTTCTTAATAACAGCGCTGCTCACTCGGGTGTCCCAGGAAATACGAGCAATGCTTCGAAGACACCTATGATCGAAAACCAATAACCGACGAGTATCTTCTACTCTCATTGGCCATGTTTCACAGCCATAAAGTAAGACGAAGCGAACTACTGCGCAGTACACTCGTCCTTTAGTCAGCAAACGGATATCTCGCCTACGCCATAAGTGACGCAGGTTGGCCTTCTGCATCCGAGCTGAGATTTCGTCAGTCACCAGGCCATCAGCACTGATGAGACTCCCAATATAAGTGAAGCGGTCTATACGTTCGACTACTTCACTCCCTATCACTAGTTCAGGTGCCGATGAAACCCAGTCTAGAAGCAACATTTTGCATTTCTAGGGTGAAAACCGCATCCCGAACATGCTTGCATTGTTGCTTATGGTAGTCAGAAGACTCTGCATTTTGTCAGCGTCTTCACCGAATAGAACTATGTCATCGGCATATTCCAAGTCAATAAGCGAGCCAGCAGGTAAAAGTTCTACTCCTGAAAATTCAGACGAGGATAAGGTTATTTCTAGGAGCATGTCTATGATAAAATTAAACAAGAATGGAGAGAGTGGACAGCCCTGACGGACACCACTTGAAGTGAAGAATTCAGATGACAGTTCGCCATAAGCTCTCACTCGACCAGTGGTGTTCGAGTAGAGTGCTTGTATAAGGTTAATGTACTTCTTTGGTACACCTTTCAATGACAGACACTGCCACAGAACCTCACGATCCACAGAGTCAAATGCCGCTTTTAGGTCCAGGAAAACAACTATTGTAGGACGCCTAAATGTGTGTCTGTGTTCCAGGACCTGTCGTAGTGTGAAATTGTGGTCTATACAACCACGTCCAGGTCTGAAACCAGCCTGGTTTTCTCTAGTCTGCTCTTCACGAGCTTCCGTTAAGCGTCGAAGTATTACTCAGGCCAATATTTTAGATACTATATTAGTTAGACTTATTCCCCTGTGATTGTCACAAGAAGACTTCTGTCCTTGCTTATAGATTGGGACAATCAGTGATTGAGACCAGTCGGATGGATTACGTCCAGTTCCCAGATTCTACCTAAGATTTCGGTCAACCTAGTTGCTAAAACTGGACCACCATCCTTAAATATTTCAGGGGTCAGTCTATCAGGACCCGGAGCTCGCCCTCGCTTCAGATTTCCTAACGCTTTCTCAACGTCATTAAGACTAGGGGGACTTACGTCGATTTGCCATTCAGGATGACTGGAGATCGTGGGTAACTGAAGAGTGGCTCGAGGCCAGTTGAACTGATCCCTAAGTCTGCGCCTAAGTTGACTTCGTTCTTCATCATGTTCAGACCCAGGTGGGATGAGTTTTCGGGCATCCATCAGATCGGTGGATGCTACTGAGATCCACGGCTTCATTCTAGCCTTATGGTCAACCTTACTAGCAGATATCACTGCTGTTTCCACAGCCTTTTTGATATCATTCCATCCTGCTTCCGGATGGTAATCGCTTATATGGTCGCCTAACTGTCTTTCTAGTTGTTTCTGAAATATATGTTTCGCCTTATTATCATTAAGTAAAACCCTAAGAGGCTTTCTTACGGTGTCTTTCCTACGCCCAGTAAGCTTCAAACAAATACGCGCTCGCACTAGGGCATGATCGGAATCTAAACATGTGCCCCAGAACGAGCGACAGTCTTCTATCGAACTACGTCGAAGTCGTGATTGACGTTGCTTACTATGGGGATCCTTAAGAATACTCGTCTAAAACACCACTAATCTAATTTCTTTTTCGGATACCTCAAGAGGTATCCTTTCACAGTAAGAGCGATCAGTAATTGTCAACTGGTTACATACTTTTGACAGCACTCTAAATCACCTTGTTCACGATCAAATTCCAATATTCTTATTATGCAAACATTAAAAGTCGTGCAATTATGTATATATGGTTGGTACAAGACCATGATTTACTACTAGTAATGAATCTCGAAATATATATGACCGAAACATTTTTGGTACAAACTCAGTAACAGTTTAGCTATTAGTTAATAACAATATTTGGATAAATAACATTATACTGACTATTAATGCGTCATACGGAAGCTTACAATTATGAAAATATGCAGATACCTTAACTATTTAGTAAATACACTTCAAAAAAAAACTAAATCCTCAGAAAGTTACTTTCAAAATCCCGTATTTTTTAGCTATTCTCACAGTTAAAAAAAACTAAAATATTGTTTCTATTTTGGATTGTTTTCATCTTCAAATATAATTGATGGTAATTAATTTGCAGAAATGAAATAAACTCCAGTGTGCTGTCAAATGAATTGTCTGACATGTGATTTTTCCGCACATAATCATAATAATGTTTGATATCTCAGATAGAAAAGCAGATCGCCTGCATATATTTATTCATTTGCGTATTATTATTAGGAGGCAGTGACATATTTTTCAATTATTAGTAAATTTATCCAACTGTTAAGTCTGTGTATTCCTATCTACTAGTTACTATCGTGTTCGAATAACCTTTGATTCACTTGAAGAAAATACTCTCAAATTGGCTTATGAAGATGCTAAATGTCTATTTAAAGACCGTGAGTTTTCGTTTTTCAAGTTTGTTTATTTTTTCGGTTTTTCACTTCATTTATGAAAATGTTTAATATTGAATAAATTGACCCTTAATGGATTTTAAATGAAAATAAGTATTGAATCAAGCAAAGTGTCTTTACACCGTAACTTTTGTCCGACACTACAAGAATTCAGAAATACTAACCTCTTTGTTTATTCAACCAATGTCAGAAAACTACTTAAGTTAGAAGTCTTTTAAACGTCTTGCACGAAATCTTACTTAATATTCCTCATCATGCTTAAAGAAAGCATAATTAATAGAATTCACTATGCATTATGGTTTAGATACTGTAATATACACCAATTATGAAACTAATTTTCACTGTTTTGTTATCAAGTAGTTCATTTCTTCTTATCTGTTTGGTTTTATTCTCTTCATTTTTTTAGACATTATAGAGTACAGTGCTGATCCAGTCGATAAAGCTGATGAAGAAGTGTACCAGTTATGTAAGCAGACAGAATCTAATTTGGGTAAATGTGTGGCTAAATCTTTACAATTTATAGAAGAAGTATTGAACAAATACAGGTATACTCAGTGACGTAGATGTTGATTGTTTGTTTTTTTACAAATGAATTGGATTTAACTATTTGATTGAGTTACAGGATAGGACCTTAGGTGTTGTAGGCTATAATGTCCAACTCTGCTTTTTAGTAATAGATAATAGATGTGTGTGAATATGGGTTTTCTATATAAAATGAGATTAAAGATTTTAATCTATTTTTTTAATGAGAAATTAACTTTACTTCTTAGTTCTTATACAACTTCATGAAAATAGATATAAACAATAGTGATCCTCCAGGTAAACTGGTCCCAAAAGTTCAATATAAATGCTTCAGTAAACTGAGTCATGTTGGCAGATGTCGACTACCTGGTTGGGGCCCGTGAGATGATAATAATCCATGGTTAGAGACCTTGAATGACATGGCTCAAAATCGTTGTAATGGCGCAGGTGTATCCATTCTTTGTGTCCTCTCAAATACTAACCTTCAGAGTTCCTCATCACCTTTACCTTTTTGTTTTCAAGTTTATTTCACTAGATTCTACCTCTTGAGTAACATCTCCGAACCCTAATCTCTCCGATTACTGCTAATACCTTTACCACATTCACTACTATAGGATTTGAATCGACAATTACACCTCAGTGCTAGTGTGGTATGACAACTTGAACTGATGTACGTAAGTAGGTACAAAGTTCTACGTTGCTGATGATTGATTGATTGATTGACTTATATAAATGTTTCATTAACGAATTATTCAAACTCTCCAAGATCATTTTTGGGAGGAATTTAGACCAAATTATTCCGCCGTATTTCTAGAAAATTTCTTAGAACATTTAATGGTAATGTGGCTTTGAAGTCTCAGTTAATTTTTTTTCTTGAAAAAATAAATTATTCAGCTTCATTTTAAAACAGCCACCTAGTTAATATCAATATTTAGTGTATGATAGTCATTTCGCTGTATTTCCTACTCTTCTTCACTAAATTGATCGTTATTGAAGTGAATAAATCGAATGATAAACTCTTGATCATAATATCAAAGTTTTAGTACAATATGTTAGTAGTATCATTATATAATCGGCCAAATTTTATAGTAACAGATAATGGATTTCATTCAACAAAGCGAGTAAATAATGGATTCACTCGCTCTCCTGAAATATAAAGTAAAGAAAGTTGTATTTCAATGTTCAGCTAGTCCAAACGTTATCTAGCTGAACCATCTTGTTCTACGTATTGTGAAATAAACTGTGTAACTTTTCCAAATCATTTTTCAGTTATAAATAACTAGTTTCATCATTAGATACTTTGTAGGTTATGTATGAAAAACATTCAGTCTAATCTAATTTGTTATACCTTTTTTTATACTTTCAAAGTGAAACTGAGCTAGTTATATGCTTCAATGGTGGTAAAGATTGCACTGTGTTACTTCATTTAATCCATGCTGCAGTTCAACATCGAAATAATAATTCAAAAATAAAACCTACGAGATTACCCAAACTTTTATATATTCGTTCATGTTCTACTTTTCCAGAAATTGAACTATTTGTTAAGAAAACAATCGATGCTTATTATTCATTATCTAACAAAATTTTACGACCAGATTTAAAACAACATGAACATGGACAGAATAATGTTAATTCACAGTCTTCCTCATGTTCAGTAGATAGTGATGTAATTATATATGAAGGGTCTATTAAAAGTGCATTGGAAAGATTTTTGCGGGATTATCCTGAAGTAAAGGGTGCTTTTATGGGCACAAGATTTACAGATCCTGGAGCACGTGAGTATCACTGTTTCGTTTTTGTGATTATCCGTTTTGTTATTACAAATAATTATGTTTCCGTAAGTTTTATATTATCAGCAAGAAATTATGAAGAAAACAGGTTGATAAAGTATTATTTCTTTTTAATTAATTTATCATAAGGATTGTACGCTAACATTACAGGTCGTATCTATTGTTACTCCGTCGCCTCATAAGCAACTCCATAAACTTAATATTGAAGGTGTCTTGAAGCTCCTAGAATTTTTACCAGAATCACAGTCGCAGAATAAAATGTCTTCATTGATCTGTTCATATTGCTATTGGCTTACTGTTTAACTGCGACATGGGGAAAATTTTTTTCTCATGGGGCTTGAAGCCAATATAACCTTATTGAACTTTCAAAACTGACGAGTTTGATCACTTTGTTAAAATATTAGCTTTAGTTAAGAATCTCACTGGACATTAAAACACCCATCTTACAGCTTATTTAACTAAGTATTCCAAAATGAATGTTTTTTAAATAATCGGCCTCATGCTCTTGTGATCATATTTCGATGAGTTATACGAGATATATTTATGTTTAAAGCCTCGTCTTTCATGTTTGGTAATTTGCACGATAAGGTGTATAGATAGCTATTCAAGTAAATAGCTTATTATTACTGTTCTGAATATTTCAAATAATAATGTTTTACTGCCTAACTGTTATCTATTCTGTAGAGAAACTGTCACATATGATGATGTCAGATCCTGATTGGCCTCAAATTCTTCGAATTAATCCACTTTTAGAGTGGACTTATTCTGATATTTGGAATTTTCTCCGATCTCTTTCACTTCCGTACTGCAGTTTGTATGATGCCGGGTAATTATTAACCTCAATCCTTTAAATAAACATCGTAAAATGTTTTTGTAATTCTTTATACGAAAGTGTATTCTAGGGTTTGTTCTTGACCGCGAATCATTGTAATCACACTCTTGATGTGGCAGCTAAAATTACTGATTAACATTACATATAAAGTCAGGAATCTGTGAACGGCTGCTTTGCTTTTACCAATAAGCACCCATGACCCTACCAAGAACCACTCTCAATAAGTGTATGCTCTCTGTCCTTTGGGCTAACTTTCGATCACTGAGTTGGAAGCCAATGGTTCACATTTTCAACTCCAGTGAGTTCCCAGTATTCTGCTACCGTCATTCGCACTCGAAGCTTCTGGTTCTATTTCTAGTGCGATGATCAGTGAACACTGCTTTGAAGTCCTGTAATAGGATAAGTAAATGTGCAGTGCTTCTTGGTTTCCAGTAGTCGTCGACCTAAATTCATTTTGAAGTGAACGCCTTTTGAGATTGGAACATGTTCTTAGACCCTTTCACTGACTAGATGCCATTTTGATAAATCATTCAGCATAGACCATTAATATTTAGAAATATTTGTGCTATGATTTTGTTTCATAAAGATAACTTCATTCGTTAATGATTCAATGAATCATTTATATGGATTTTCAGTCTTTTGATTCGACTCTCAAAGAACTGTTTGTGATTACTTAATGATCATAAATTTAAGATTATATGAATGGGATAACTAGAGTTCTGAAACACTGTAGATGCAAGGTTTGTCATCTGCTCACATGATGAAGCTAGCGTAACGTTTTCTTTAGACAATAATTGTAGATAATTTATTGTGGTTGATACAAGTCAAGTTATTATAAATACTAGGGGAACATGGCTTGGTTGCCCAAGCATTTGTTTCTTCTAGACAGGTTCCAACTTCTCTTTACTTATCAAAGTTTAGGCATTTATCTAGGATTGCTATTTCTCAAATCCAATGCATCGTAACTGAATGTATATTCAGGTCCCAATTGTAGTGATACACGATTTCATGATATAATGTGCGAGCCTATAACCTAATAGAACATATCTGTGATCACTACTTGAGCATGATTCTGTACAGTCACTAGGATCGGGTCTAGCGATTCACATTTTGCTATTGAATTCAGTTCGCTACGTAACGTGATTACCATCTCTAGGTTTTTGACAGCTACCATTGTCCCCTTTTCTTAATATGTCTATTTCAGCCTAGGTCTTATCATGTCTTATTAATTTGTTTCTGCTTTTTAAATAAACAATGTATTTTTTCGTATTACAGATATACATCAATTGGAAGTGTGGAAGGCACACACCCTAATCCCCAATTAAAATACATAACAGAAAGTGGACGGATCGCATACCATCCAGCCTATACATTAAACGAGGAAATTTGTGAACGCATCGGTCGTGTACATACAAATACAAAGCTCGATTGAATCAAAGCCATATATAAGTTAGCTTTTCAAAGAAACACTCGTAAGACAATTGTTGACGGAGATTTAAGATTTTGGATAGACAGCTATAAAAGACTGTTTTCGCAACCGTTCAGTACCATACGTATTCTGAATATGCTTAAAGCTTTAACAATACGTTTACAGATATAAATATCAACTCATCTTAAACGTACCTTAGTTACCTTTTACTAACAATGCTATAACATAGATTGATGAAGTCCGTTTTCTTGGTGTATCCTTCGTCATAACATCTCTTGACAAAACCTCACAATTCACGTATACTCACTTATAAGTAAAACTTGTCTCACTCACCGAAAATGTGGAATGGATGAATATTACCGACTAACCACTTAAGTTCGAAGTGAGTATAAATTTTCGAAATGTTCCGCAGAGTTCTTTATAGGCTATTTGTAGCTGATGGCGATTTCAGATTCCACTTTGGAAGCGTTTAAATCTCTGTTTCGTAGTACAGTTTACAATTCGACGGTATTTTTTACTCTGTAAAATACATAAATATGAGAATCGGGAGCTATTCTCTATTTCGATCACTGACTGTCAAAGTAAATAGCTTCGTTGGTTTCCGTTCAATGGATAAAGTCACTTATCACTGGACTATTGAAAATTAATTGCTTTGATAGTACACAAACTTTATGATGAAACAATCTGTACGAAGTAATTAACATTTTTACAGATAAAAGCTAATGGAATGTCAGTGTAAACTATAAGAGTAATTTAGTTAATTAGACTCACAATGTAAGGTTAGTCTAATAACACCCACACAATTTGAATCGATGACCCAGACGAAGCTGTAAAATTTGAATAATATAATTCACTGCCGTCGTTAAGTTTAAAATTTTGATTAAATTATGTTAACTAACATATGTGTTTAACGTGAAACTAATGATTCGTTAAAAGATGGGTAAAAGAGATGTTAGATTAAGTTTGAATAGTTCCGACCAAACAGGAGAGGATTAAATCAGGAAATTTTGAAATTGTTTGTCGTTTGATTAACGACCTAACTTTGTATATAGAAACGCCAGTGCTATGACATCTACAATATACGAGAAGTATCAGTTACTTAACTTTAAGGCATTTTTGTATAATTGAGCAGTTGAATGAGCTTAATTAATTATTACTGTGGCACATGTGCCAGGCTCTACGCTGCATATAACTCACTGACTAAGCATGGCAAAAACGAAGATTTAATGAGGATTAACTTAGCTGAACACCGCTGGTTCGGAAATTCAAAGTCAAGTGCCGGCCTCATCGTGTCAATGATATCTGCTGATTCTGTTTTCCTAGAGCAGTCAATGTCTTTGCAAAACCTATCTAATGAATTTAGTCGTAATTATTATCTGTATTGAAATAAAATGAATAATAAATTCAAATGCTAAAACTTTACTTTGTTAGGTCAAATTCATTTCAACTGCAATATATTTATAGGTAGCATACAGTTTCGTATGCGTCTTTTATTAGATATAGAGTAACAATTATGAATATTTTCTGAGAATGAGACAGAAAATTGTAAACTTATCTTCTGTTTCTAGTTTGATGTTAAGTTGGTGGAGGATGAGTAAAGTTATGATGTTTGTATAGAATAGTGATTAATTTGTGTCTTCTGTCAACTTCAAGTACCAGAAAAGTTATAATCATAATTTATTAAGAAATTAGTATTTAGGGGTTTTATCGCATTCTAGAAATAATTTTATATAGAAAGTGCATTCATGTCAAGTATTAATAATGAGAATACAAAAGCCAATATGGTGAAAAGACGGATATCTCTTATCCACGCATTTCAGTTTCTTGTCAATTTATTCATTCTGATGAACATGATTCATGACCATTATTTTGAAACGGGAAAAGAATTCGTTAGAATAACTGATTTTCAGGTTGGTCTCTATCTACTAAAGGAAATCTCACTCAAGTATATTCGATCAAAAGAGAGATGTTGAAAAGGAGCAAATTTATAAGTCAGTAGTTCAGTTTTAATTGTTAACTAAAAAGGTTGATATATTTGCTGTCGTGAATTGCTTAAATACATCCAGTTATTTGTTGATCTGTGGTCAGTTCAATGTATCCGAGTTTGTCTATTGACCAACTAAGTCGATCATATAAATCGTTGTATTTAGATATAGTTTCGATCAGTGGTTAAATTTGTTGCTGATTTATTTATGATGCGTGACCGATTCCTATCTACAGTTCTACTTTCTTCTCTGCATCCAGCCTTACGGATATTTTTCTCCGTATTAAGAATTGACAGTTTTTCCTGCACTTATAGCCACTATCAGTAACAGTATATTGTCATTTACAATAAATGCGCTTCTGCTAAAAAGAAATAATATGAAAAACAGAATAAAGACGAGAGTTGTTTCCGTAATATTACTTTGCTGTAGCTGTAATAAATCTTACCTATGAATGTTTACCTATTAGCATGTTGCTATTAGTCTGCAAGTCATATATATGAGTATGTAAACTTTGGCGAGTCGACTAATACTGAACTTCTCTATCTAATTAGTTCATGGATTTGTGATTGTTTACATCGTCTTGTCTAGCTGTCCCGATTACTAGTCTGGACACAGATTTACTTACAACTTGTATTTATTCTCATTATCTTAATGGACATGATTATTGTAATCGTTTGAATGCTAGTATTACTGCAGATTGTATACTTATCGTATTAAGTAACTCGATAAATCAATTATAAGTTTAGTCTATGAAACGTTTTGGTTGCACAGTTTGTTCTATTCAAGATGATATTCGTTACTCAGCTGAATTCTTCTTTTTATTGAGCGAAATTCTTGTCTTGATCTAGTCCTCACCCAAATATCAAACATTGTATACATGTCGAGTACACACAGACATCGTCCAGGATCTTTTGGTTGGTTGATTTGGTTATTAAGCTTACCGAATCCTTCTATATAAAACCCTGAAGAAAGCAAGTTATCAGGTATTGTCCACAGATAAAATGTCGCTAGTTGGTTGCACGACATGTATGCACTTGCAGTCTGCCACGAACGAAACGAGGGGTTCCACTTGTATCTGCCAAGTTAAGACAGAAACTACACATAAAATATCAACAGAGTTGGTTGTGAAACAGACGTACGACAGGGGTACCATTGAGTGGGCATGATGTTTCTGAGTGGTTATCAACCAAATCAGATTAGCGAACTTATTGGAGCTCATGTGGCTGCAGCACCAATAAGATTTATATTTTAATTGGGTTTGTAAATTGACAAAAATGCCATACATAGATATTATAGTTACTTTAGACGTAATAACATAACAGTTGATCTTAGGAATGTATATTTGTGAAAGAAGTTTTTCTTAATGTGAAAGCCAATAAAAAATTTGATATTGATTTTTAGTGTTATACTTGTATTGGAACGCTTCTACGAAGAAAATACGATTTGTGAAAAATAAACATTATTGTACTCGTTTGGTTTAACTGTACCAGAAACACTTCTTGCGCGCAACGTTTTTCTAAATGCGCTGCTCCCCATGTAATGCCTACTCTCTCCTTCAATAAAATATTGGAACATGGATTTATTTTGATTTAAATGACGGGATAATATGGAACATTTAGTGGTGATCACAGTCAATCTTGTATCTCTCACCACTAAATACTTTTACGAAGAAAACACTATTGCTGAAATATATAAATTTATTATTGTACTTAATTCTGAAAATATTTGTTATATTGTACTCCTTTTGTTTAACTGTACTGAAGACTATGTCTCGTGCGCCAAGTGTGTCATTCTCATTCCCTTTCTCTCCTCAATGGTTGTTAGCCGCTCACTATAACATTAAATTCCCAGGCTTGTATGGTCACTGTCATCGATCATGATTCATAAATTAAACCAATATTCCTCTTACCAGCCTAAATACTATTTTCTCAAAACGCGCGATGACTCACTCGCATGTTTATATATGTGTCATTCGTGTTTAGATCGTGTGACCGATGGTTTCGTGAAAATTAAGTCTTTATTGCGTACTGTCTTTTGAAATGTAAACGCCTCTACAGAATTGGTTCAGCAGCTATAACTATATTCAGTATACAAACTGAAATAATAATCTAATTGATTTTTCACTGCAACAAGTTCCAGGTTGTTTTGGACTGAGATTGTCTGAATGTTAATTTGACAACTGCTTAACATTTTTAGCACTTATATATAAATTAATACTTGGTGACCAGATACTAAGCGTTTCCAATATCCAATATCTTTTTCACGAGCTAGTATAAACCAATTGATTTCTTTGCTCTCGATTCTTTTTCTTTCGATACGGTTCCAGGTGTTCGGTAATGTCCAATGAATGGAGGTCTAGCCACTTGACTGTCTAATTCTACTCAGTTGGCAGTTGGTTGTGAGTTTGTATGTCTCGGGATTTCAATGAAAACGTTTGTTTCAGGGCAGTAGGGTTTATGGATACCAGCAGCTATCACATTACCAGACCGGAGTCCAGTAAGTCGCAATGTGGAGAATAAGTAATAATGAGAAAATTCTAATGCTAATATGAAAAAAATTTCAGAACTGAGTAATATATAGATGCATTTAGTTTGTCAATTGGTAGTGAAGATGGTGATAGAGGACCGTAGTGTAAGCAAGGGGGAGGGAAAAGAGATGAGAGGCGAGACAGAATAAGTAAGTGACCTAAGGAGATGGCAATGATAACAACTAGCAGGTCTCAAGATATGCATCATGAACAGCTTGTCCACGAGGGAGATGATAGTCCGTATGTGAGTACGTGATTATCAAGTCTCTTCTCAAAGCAGTCCACTGAGGGGGCTGTGGCCGCCTCGGCTGGGAGAGCATTCCAAGTTGCGACGACTCGCAATGAGAAAAAGTGTGCACGAATCTGAGTATTCGCTCTTTGATGAGCAATCTTTCGAGGATTGCCCAGAGGGGAGTGGTGGTGATGCATCGGTAAGATGCTCACATTGGGATGGTTTGGCGTGTTTAATATGGTGTACGCCATAATCAGAT